GCTGAACTACGAGTATGAAGGGATCCAGTGTTGTCAAAGTTTGTCATCCCCGCCCCCCCAATTCAGTGATTTTTTTCATAAACCGGGGGCGACCGGGGGAGTGTTGGCGCGAGCCGCAGACTGCCCGTGACTGCTTTCGACCGGCCAAGTGCACACTAATCTGTCCAGGTGCACAAAAAGTTGATTGGTAAGGCCTTCCAAGCCCAAATATTGAATGATTAGAAAAGAGGGAGAAGGAAATCATCCTTTTGAACTAAAGATTGCAAGAGAGCCCAAAAGGACGGCGGTCCATTCTGGAAAGCGAAGGTCCATCGGATGGCGTCCAATGGAAATCCGTCCACGTCTCGCCACAGGGTGCCACGCCAGCAGAAGCGCGTTTCCAAAACCCAAACGTGGAAGAGTCCGGTCGAGTCAAAAGCTTGATTGCGCAACATACGGCGCGGATGACGTGACTTTGCTGTCTTCACCGCAGCGCATCGAAACGGCGAAAAGGAAGAAAGTTCACTTGTGTCTCGCGACTAAACTTCATTTCAAAAAGGATCTCGTTGGAGGTGTGTAGGAACCTCATGTCCGAGAAATCTTTTGGGTGGGAGGTCCAGACTCTCTTTCCGACACACGTTCCTCACGCGACTGTTCCAATGTGACATAAGCGGTGATGCGGATCCAACATGAGATTGGAACAAACGCGAACCTTGCGAGTGTTTTGACGACAAGACGCGCGGGAGCATTTCGAGAACGTCAGTAGTACGAGTGGCAACCCCAGAGACGTCATCGACAACGCTCGCCCCGATTCGAACGGCAGTGACAGAAATGTATACCTTTTGTTCCTCTTAACGTTGTGTTCCACTAATTTGTTTAAAATAGCTGTTCAAACGGTACAGCCCCAAATAGTAGGGTTAGTGTTTTAGTGCACGATCACCCTGTTATATTTCGAAAAAAAAAAACAAAAACGGCAGGGATACACCGGAAGGAAGAAGAAGAAGTAGAAGAAGAGCATCCCAAAGTGTCGAAGCGTTTCAAAGGAATTCCCGAGCAGGAAATAAGACTCGGCAACCGTTGAACGATCGGCTCCCCGGATGAATACGGCGACGAAACCATCGAGCTGTTCTTCCGGTGCGGGAGGAGCGGGGGGCGGTTTCCGCGTGACGTCATCGGCAGCCGACAGTTGCTAAGCCGCGCACGCGCGCCCGTTTGTCAACAATCGGAGGGAGCTCCTTTTCGTCAGCCGTCGTTCGAGTCGGAGCTTTGTTTTGACGACAAGACGCGCGGGAGCATTTCGAGAACGTCAGTAGTACGAGTGGCAACTCCAGAGACGTCATCGACAACGCTCGCCCCGATTCGAACGGCAGTGACAGAAATGTATACCTTTTGTTCCTCTTAACGTTGTGTTCCACTAATTTGTTTAAAATAGCTGTTCAAACGGTACAGCCCCAAATAGTAGGGTTAGTGTTTTAGTGCACGATCACCCAGTTATATTTCGAAAAAAAAAACAAAAAAACGGCAGGGATACACCGGAAGGAAGAAGAAGAAGTAGAAGAAGAGCATCCCAAAGTGTCGAAGCGTTTCAAAGGAATTCCCGAGCAGGAAATAAGACTCGGCAACCGTTGAAAGATCGGCTCCCCGGATGAATACGGCGACGAAACCATCGAGCTCTTCTTCCGGTGCGGGAGGAGCGGGGGGCGGTTTCCGCGTGACGTCATCGGCAGCCGACAGTTGCTAAGCCGCGCACGCGCGCCCGTTTGTCAACAATCGGAGGGAGCTCCTTTTCGTCAGCCGTCGTTCGAGTCGGAGCTCGGCCGAGCGGGTAAGCCGCAAGTCCGCTTTTGGGGTGACTCCCTCGAGCTTTTCTCGCTTCTTTGCCGCCTTGCTCTTTTTGCTGCTGGCTATTGATGCTAACGTCGTCTGCGGGCGGCTAACCAGCTAGCCGCCGCCGCCGCCGCCGCCGCCGACTTTTGGCCGGGCGCTTCTCGCGGTACGATGCGTTCGATCGCCTTCTTCTCCCGAAGCTTCGACGGCTCGGCATCGTGCGAACGACGCGCGGGCGCTCGTCAACGGCGGCCGCGTCCGAGGGCGAGCGCGGCCAACGACCCAACTCGCTTTTTCATGACGGCGCGTTGGGAGAGAGTTTGTCATTGAAGGTCTTCCGGTCGTTCGTCGAGCGCAAGCGGGTCTGCTCGGCAAAGCGAAATCCGGGCGGGCGCCGCAAAAGATCCAAAGTGAGGACGACGCCGCATCCCCGTCGCGGATCGATTTGGAGCTCACCTGCGTCGCACTGACGAATGACATCGGCGAAGCGCTCCAGAGAACCTCCAACTGGAGTTCGCGCGCGCGACTGCAACGATTTCAACTCTGTCAAAAGACGCTTGTGTTGGAAGGAAACAAGTACGTTGCGCTTCGGAACACGGACGGGTGAATAGAAGCACAATCGGAAAGGATCGGACTCGCATTGCGGTGTCTTGTCAGCCGCCAAGAGGAGTGGCTCGCACGCGTCAAAGGGGAAGCCCACCCCCAACCAACATCGCGTTCTATGGAGTGTCAACTTGGCGTTCTGATGAATGGAAGACGTTTGTGGAACACGATTTTAGCGGCAAAATCCATCTCGGGGTTCGACGTTCTGTTGACTGAAAGTGACATCGCAGTTCCTCCGGGAACGACCTATCACGGCTCAAGCCGCGCCATCGTCGCTTGTTCGTCGCTTGTTACCTGAGGTCTGAGTAACCCCGTGAGGTGGATTTCAAAAATAAAAACGTTGGATTTTGTTGCTTAACAACGTGTACTACGCAAGCCCGGGCCAATGGGCCGCCATTAATGTTGGACCAGGCGTGTATAGTATATCCATCCATTCATTTTCTGATCCGCTTTTTCTCGGGAGCGTTGCGTGCTGGAGCCTGCCGGCCATCTTCTTCGGACAGGAGGCGGGCTACGCCCTCAACTAGTTGTCGGCCAATCGCAGGGCACGCAGAGACCTACGACGGTTCGTTTTGTGTTCCGCCAAGCTGCCGTGGATGTTTTTGGAATGTGGGAGGAGAGCGCAGTGCCGGGAGAAAAGCTACGCGGGCACAGGGCGAGCTCCACGCAGGACGTCTGCAGCCGGAATCGATATGTTTGATTTGAAAGAACCCCCTCCCCCCCC